CAATCCCGTAGTTTTTCAAGAAGGCATCCTTACGGCTTTAGAACAATATAACACGGAACAATTTGTTACAGTCACGCCACCCAGACAAGAGCATAATGTACATAGCCATTATAATACTTGTAGTCTGATGTATGGACATTGTAATTACATCTAACTTCTCGATCAATATAACTCTTCATTCGATGCAATAATAGGTTATCGTCTCCAAGTACGGCCAAATTGAGCCAGACATTTTCGTAGATCCCAAATCACATCAAAAGTTTCGCTTTGATCATATGCGACAAGTGAGTAAGTCTAATCTATTCTCATGGAACGTCAGCAAAATAAAGTCTTACTACATGCACACGCCCCCTCGTCTCTCATTTTTTCTTACATTCAGTTTATATGTCTATCTGTAGGTTGCAACTGACGTCGAGCCACATGAACCAGATGAAGCGACAGAACCCTTGAGGTAGGTGATCAACAAATGGTGAGGTGGTGGCGTCATAAGAGCATTGCATATTGTGATTGTACTATCATCTTGGTTTTGCTAAATGTGGACCTATAACCGTTACCCGCTCATTAAGGGTTGCTTTAGAAACAGCCGTCCAAGATTATATTACGGATCATTATCCCGAGGGCATTGCCACCGTTTATTCAACACAAGATTCAACATTGACTATAGCAATCGTGGATAATAAATATAACCCTGATAATTTCTGGTAAATATGACAGTATTTGATTATCCCCTTTGTACTTATTGCTAATGCCTTTTAATCACAGGAACGGCAGATGGCGTTCTGCATGGGTAATTACACCGGCAGCAGGAGAAATAAAAGGGACCGTTAAAGTGAATGTTCATTATTTTGAAGATGGGAACGTTCAACTCAATACTGAGAAAACGCATGATGGAACAGTTAAAATTGATGGAGAGGTATTAATTCATGTAGAATACAATATATGTACCATTGGCTTGTATATCGAACGTTCTGATTCACTGCTATTTGCGTATAGAATCCAGAAGCTGCTGCTGCTACTATTGTAAAATATATCATTAAAGTGGAGGACGATTTTCAAAAGTCTCTCAACGAAGCGTACGTTGAATTGAACGAGAACACGTTCAAAGAATTGAGAAGAGCTCTTCCTCTAACACGTCATAAGATTGACTGGGATAAGGTTTGTAGATATTAGGAAACTTTAGAAGATTCACATATATGAGTCATTATGCGGGCATCTGTTGTTCTAGTAATGTCATTGCGCATTGTTGAGACACTCGATTTACTCGTTTACTGACCGATACTCGATCATTAATTCTATTACTCCAGATTATGAATTATAAAATTGGGCAAGAATTGGCCGGAAGGGAATAGATACGACAGAAGAATGATTCATAGGATTAATTAATGCATAGAAATACAATCACATGTCATCAGAGTGGATTATTTAAGGAACTATAATTGAATAAGATGGAGATTGGGGCTGCCAAAACCCTTTCTCCCGATCCAAGCTCTTCTAAGCGTTCAACAATACAAATACATCCTTGTTCCGATCATGCATATTGTCGCTACAAAATGATTGTTTTGGTTGTCTGGGCGTTGTCTGCGCAGCCCTGCACAATCTTCGATGATAGATGAAGGCAAAACTTTTATCCAAAAAGTACCCTCCTAATGTATATTAATCTTCCATAGGAAAATATATACATATACCACGATGGTATGCGGCAACAAACCATCAACATGCTTTAAATAACCAGCGGTGTTGTAGCTCCAAAAAATTTTTCGATATAATAAGCGGAGCCCTGAAAGATGGTTCAGCGTTTGATTTGACCTCGTCTGATAGCCTTTATATCGTTTAAGTATTACATTTTATGCCATTACCGAAATTAGTTACGCGAAATTCGTGATCTGAATATGAAGCGCGAACGCATTATAATTATTTGGTAAAATTAAACACTCAAAATCGGCAAACTAATATGTTGAGAAAAAAAATTTTATTATGATTGTGATCTGAAATGTTCCAAGAGGAGCTGGATAGCGATAGTTGTTTTAAAATAAACGGTAAAAGCAAACATTTAAGAAATATTATTTACAACTTGATTCGAATGCATTGTTTACGTTTAATAGCAACATGTCACATTTGGCAATTACAAGGTGCACAAAGTAAATGAGGTTGATACAACAACTATTAACACATAATAAACCTTAATGAGAGAAAGGTTATACAGTAAAACCCATTATTAAAAGCTCTCGATAAAAATCACCTTGCCGTAATCATTACCCATGAGAGCTAAAGCAGAAAAAAAAAAAAACCACATGAATGACCAGATTAGAGAAAAACTTCCAAATGTACTATCTCTACCGACAATTGGAAGGCGCGCAATTCCAAGATTGACGCGTATACATCACGTAGGAGTCCTTTGACATCAAATTGATACTTGATTTTACGTTTTAATTTGATTTACTATCTGCACCGTCGTGATTCTGGAAGGAGAGTGGCCGATGGACTAACCGACGTATATGTGCAGCCATTGTTTGGTGAATAGCGTGCAGAAAGAATATCTAGGACATCATGATGTGAAAGGGGAAACAAGGACCTTATTAAGAATCGGTTGTTAGAACACAATTTCTGAACGGGTAAGTTTTCTATGAAGAGTCAACCGTGTTAATATCATGAAGATTTACAAGAGCATGAGGAAACAGTGAGCGAGTTGGAATTATGGTAGCCGGCATCCAAATGAATTCTGGAAGTCGAAAGTGACGGCCGTTTTATTGGTGAGTTCAAGACGTTCCTTACAAGTTTGATTTTTCTATGCAATAAACTTTAGTATATTTATGCAGGTAATGCATGTAGGAAGGGAATTTATGTTATATGGGTCAAATGACTTTCTACCTCATTTATCTGAAGACTCTCAAGAACAGCACATTCAGCGATGGCATTTAAACAGGAAGCGAGGCTCATCTTAATGAGCAGGCACATAAAATCGTTGATCAAGTCACTGACAGCCCATGACGAAAGTGGTTGAAAATGATGGTGCTGGTCAGAGGCACTCACAACCCAGCACACTCTTACCTCATCGATGGTAATTGTCGCGATCTTGTTAGGGCTAATACTATTGAATAGAGAGTATGTACACTCAGCTTATACTGCGGCTGCAATTACTGGAGAGTTAACGATGCTGATGGATGATTTTGGATGGAATTAACAAGTTGGATCCGTTATTTCAATTACGGAAAGCGTTGTACGCGTAATAGAACTTGCGAACGGACTTGGTAGCGTAGCGGCTGAATAAATTTCGAATAACATCTAATACTTTATTCGATACCGCACACTTGAAGCTGAAAAGTATTAATGACGGATTGAGCAGTCAGAGATATTAGCTACGTACGTAATAGTAATAAAACCAATTAGACATGACGCCAGAATTTGTCGTTGTCCTCAAATCTTTATTTGGCACTCGATTGTCTCACAACAACATCTGACACATTCTAAATGTTTGCAGTGCCATTACAATCCCGTGATTGCTTAATATGAGACGGGCGACGTTTCAGCATTTAACAGACAGTAAATTAGTTCCATACACAGATATTGCGTTGTTGTCAGCAGCAAATCGACCTGATTTCACATTGAATGTAAAACCAATAAGAATGATTATTGATCAGCAGCAAAGTTTGGCTGCATCAACCTATTAATTCTTTTAATTAATTCTCTCACAATTCTCTAACAAAACTCTCCTGTGCTTGATGTTTCATCCATGGTTACAATCCATGGTTACAATCTTGGGTAGACATCCCAACTACGATAATAAATGGATTTCTAAGTTGAAAAGTTGGGTAACTGCCGATCTGGTTGTTTAAGGTTGCTTATTAATATATATCGCTTGCAAAACGGTAGTGGTAATTAACAGTAATAGTAATAGCTAGCTAACCCATAATTTAAAATCAATTAAATGCTTACGTTGTCACCATGCCTTATTTGCAAAACTGCGATTGGATTTATTGAACACCATCGCAGTTACAATACACCAATTATGATAGATGGAGATTGATAAATACCCTTGCCCCGATCTTTCATTCTCCCCAACTTTGAGGAATCAAGTTTCTCTACATACTATCTCGAATTAGTTTCTGCATAAATTTAACGTTAAAGATAACCATGTCTGACACTGCAATGTACGTACTAAAGAGCATTATAGTGAAACGTCATGAAATAGGACAAGAAGATGATAAATATCTAAATTTAATCGATATGATTTCTGCAGCAACTAATACTATTTATTATATCCACATTATCCATGCAGTGCTGACTTTGGGCTGATTGGCCTTGCTGTTATGGTAAGCGTGATCGTTAAACACTTTGCGTCATAAATAGAAATATCGGGTTCGTACATTGACAGTCCTGTTGTTTATACAGGGACAAAACCTTGTTTTGAACATTGCTGATCATGGCTTCACAGTAGTTGCTTACAACAGAACTGTAGAGAAAGTCGACCGTTTTTTGGCTAATGAAGCCAAGGGTAAGATTACCACATTCAAACCATCGCGGATTTGAACGTTTGTTGAGAATCATGTCATCACGCAATTAATATCGACTCTACTGATCCAGGTAAAAATGTAATCGGCGCACACTCAGTCGAGGAACTTTGCCGTAAGCTCAAGAGACCACGAAAGATTATGCTTTTGGTAAAAGCTGGTAAAGCCGTTGATGATTTCATCGAACAAATCATTCCTCATATCGAACCCGGCGACATTATCATCGATGGTGGTAACTCTCACTTCCCCGACAGCATTCGACGTGCCAAATATTTGGAAGAGAAAGGCTTCTTGTTTGTCGGTTGTGGTGTTTCGGGTGGTGAGGAGGGCGCTCGTTATGGACCTTCTCTTATGCCTGGCGGTTCTCCTGCTGCATGGTAAGTTTTCATATCGGAAAACAATAACTGGATGTATGGCGAGATGTGGTTTCTAACTTTCTACCACATACCCCCATCTAAAATTCACTACAAAAGGCCGCACGTGAAACCGATCTTCCAAGCTATTTGTGCCAAAGCTGATAGTGAACCCTGCTGCGACTGGGTTGGAGAGACTGGCGCAGGACACTACGTCAAAATGGTCCACAACGGTATCGAATATGGTGATATGCAGCTCATATGTGAAGCCTATCACATTATGAAAGAGGGTCTTCACCTCGGGTCCGATGAGATTGCGGATGCGTTTGCAGAATGGAATAAGGGAGATTTGGACTCGTTTTTGATTGAGATCACAAGAGACATTATGAAGTTCAAGGATGCTGATGGTACTCCATTAGTTGAAAAAATCAAGGATATGGCTGGACAGGTGAGCTTTATTGATGAACAGTGTGACGGGTGATAAGTCTATGGTTTTATTTTTATTTTTTTGTGTCAATTGTTAATTTATATTTGCAACCATATTCTATGTTTCTCGATCTCTTTTCCGTCCAATAGAAAGGCACAGGCAAGTGGACAGCTATATCCGCTCTTGATCTTGGGATACCCGTAACGCTTATTGGTGAGGCTGTCTTTGCACGGACGCTTTCTGCTCTCAAAAGCGAACGTGTTCGTGCAAGCAAGATCTTATCGGGACCTAAAAGAAGCGGACACCAAGCCGAGATTGATAAGACTGAATTTCTTTCCAAACTCGGCCAGGCTCTATATGCTTCGAAACTTGTCTCATATGCTCAAGGGTTTATGTTAATGCGTGAGGCGGCAAAGGAATATAACTGGAACCTGAATAATGCCGGTATCGCTTTAATGTGGAGAGGTGGTTGTATTATTCGAAGGTATGTATTGGAAAAGAAAATGTAACATGGTTTATGGATAATTGACATTTATTTTTGATATTCTCCCGATATTATAGCGCTTTTCTTGGAAAGATCAAGGAAGCTTACACAAACGACACAAAGCTTGAGAACCTTTTATTTGACCCTTTCTTCAAGAATGCCGTTGACAAGGCCCAATCCTCATGGCGTTATGTAATTTCCCAGGCCATTTTAATGGGTATCCCTATACCCGCATTCTCAACGGCTTTGGCCTTCTACGACGGCTATAGACACGCCAAACTTCCCGCCAATTTATTACAAGCCCAAAGAGACTATTTCGGGTAAGTCGTTAACAGGAAAACATGACGATGAAAGGCTGAATTTATTCCGTGTCGACTATCTAACACAATTATATTTTATAGTGCCCATACATTCAGATATCTTGATGAATACACTGACGACAAACATCCGAAAGACCGTGATGTCCATATCAATTGGACTGGACATGGTGGTAACGTGAGTGCCTCAACTTACCTTGCCTAGTTAATATGCATCATATTACACACCTCTATTTTGGAGTGAAACAAGAATTTAAAAACTTTCCATGTAAACATTCTATGCAAGTTGTAAAGAAATAAAGCAAGCTCAAAAAGACATAAATACCGTTTCTTGATGGCGAGTTAGACATATATTCTGCATGTAACGACAAATCAAATCAATATTTTTCCCGCTTTCTATAAATGACACTGACTAACATAAATAAGATAATCACTCTTTACGTAATAGTAATAGCAATTTTTTATAAAAAATTTGCTGCTATTTGTGGAATTCGGAGTGTTTTATTTTGTTGATGGGAATATAAATTTAACATTCACGTAATGTCATTGTCGTATAACCAATTCTACACAGCATTCATAAGCTCACTTCTCGCGCCGTAGTTTCATACAAACGCGATGTTTCGGTAAGATGAATGAGTGAATAAATTCTTTTGCTGCAAGAGCACCCTTACGTATCAAAAACAAATACGTTAATGAGAGAAGACATTTCAGTAGATGTTTTATAACTCGCGTAATACATAACACCGTCTACATACTTTCTCATGATATATCGCCCCAATAAGAGCCAAGAGCGCACTCCCTGTAACCGATGTCTCCCCAGACCGCTCGATCAATTGACCACGTCTCTTGGCTTCTTGCAGTCGAATGTGATTTATCTATAGACATCAATCATGGTCAATATCTGGACATGCGTGATACAAAGCAGTATCTATTTGAGCGTTATAGACTAGGGATACCGGTAAGAATCTAACGAGTTTGTTTAATCCGAGTTCTATTCCAATAGATCCCAGCGCGCGCTCATCTTTTAATTCCTTCACTGTCTCTGATAACTCGTTGGATGGGACTTTGTTCAGCAAATGTTCAGCACCATATAACTGAAGTGTCTTTTTACCTAATAGAACGGATTGTCGACCAATATAAGCAGTTGCTATTTATTGTCGCGCGTCATTTCCGATAAATACCAAACACTAACCAACAAATTTCAATCGTTCGTTTGTGGGAACGTTTCCGTGTTTATAGCTCTTATGAGTCAATACTTGTTGAAATGTTCGTTGATTGTTAAAACTTATACCAATCCTACCAAGAAACTCATTGTACTCGTCTGCATTCTTAATTAAATACACCTCTTCTTCTTCATATTCCTCTGGTGGCCAGTGTTGACGTATGGGTACTGCTTTTATTCTTGCATCATCTGTTTCACTTATCGTAGATTGTCTTCTTACTTTATGATTAAATAGATCAATATTTTTAGACTTGTGAGCAAAATGACTTGTCACATATCGTAGAATGTATCTCTTCTGGGTAATGCTATTATTATCATTTTAATGAGATAAGATAGCGACCAAAGATGAGAAATATATCTAGGCTCCATTTTGACTCTAGCAAGTGAGTGAAATCCTTGCTAGAGCTTCGAAGAAGCCATCGTACGCAACGCGTGGTATAAATACAGATGAATTAAAGAGATACCTTGTATAGCTTGCAGTGAAAGGGGGCGTATCTGGCTGATAATTGTATTAGGAATGTGCTTTTGATAAATCTGTCGCAACATTTTATATTTTTATTAAAAAAATTTTTTTTTTAATTTTTTTTGATAATCGGCAGTCTACAAATGGAGACTTATCATTGGATGTTATCACTATCACACATTTTTAAACTCTGGTTATACAAACTATCAAGGCGATTAGCATAAACACGATGCAAGACATGAAATGATTTTTTTTTTCAAGTCACCGACTCCCCATACCTTCTCAAACAAGTGACAGTAAAATTTGTAAAGCCCATAAGCGTCAATTATCTTAGCCAACGATTTTTTTATCACCATTTTGTTCAATTTAACCGTACGGCTAACCCAAGTCTTTTTTCTACTTCGCTAGCACATGTTCAGGATCCAGCAGAATTCAAGAGTGAGTAGTCTTTTATGCCATTTAGATCCTTCCGCAAGAATGATGCTCAAAGTTATTAGTGACCATAGATGTAGAAAAGCGAAATAACGATTGGAAAATTTGCCTGGGCCACATATACGGAGGAAGAACACACACATTTTTATTAAGATTTTTGATACAATTCCATTCAGCTTGAATTTATTGACTAATTGGAGAAGGAAGTTATCAGCACTAGCTGCTGGTTGATATGTTCGTTTGTTCTAGCAATGGTTGCTTGAGGGTTCAGTATTCTGTCTAAGTCTATTACTCAAATTACACCGTCCCATGCAGAGCATTTACTCCAGAAGTAATTGATATCATAGTGAACGATTGGACATTACAATGGATGTGACTGATCTCCTCACAGACGACGATCCATTGGACATTATACATTATCAACCAGAATAATATTGTCATTTTCGTCTTGCGTCGGCATCGGCAGGGACGTCCCTTTGCCAACATTGTGGTCAATCGCCCAGAGCGTCCTAATCCCGGCACACAATATTATAAATAATAGCCAATTAGGCACACGCATGCTAAACTTCTGATTAGTATCTTCAGTTGCATCCATTATGGCCACAAGAAGAAGCCCCCATAATTGTGCTGATGAATTCAGAATCCCAGTTGCAGTTATTTCGTCCTTATACGGTTGGGAAGACGTGATCATGTTGGTATATTGGAATGCGGCAGAGGGGATGGCTAGCCATTCGGTGTCATGTTACAGGAAAAAATAAAAAATTTATCCATAGGGAGAGTCAGTAAAGGCGGTTAATTGGATGTAGAGATGGAATATATTTATGTTCGTGGTTTTATGACTCCAGCGCGAATGGAATTTATATGTAAATTTAATGCTTACCGAAGGAGAAGATACCAAATAGTATGCTTTGCCATAAGAAATCAAATGAGAGTTCAGTAAGACCGTTATATAATGATATACATACTTAGTCTGCTCACCTTGATATAAATACAACGCTCAGTACTTCAAATTCCAAAGCAAGGTTGAATGCAGCAAATGATAATACAGCACTTATATACAAAACCCGACATGACATCTTATAGGCATACGTGAGATCTAAAACCACGCCCGCCACTAACGACGCAAGCACACCAAATACTACCACAAGGAAACCCAACAAGCCAACCTTGGTCTATAAGACGATATATAGTCATTTGCTTAATTAGAAACATCTGATTATATAATTAATCCATCACATAATTTACCAACCTGATCATTCAATAAGAACACTGGCACGATAATCTGAGCCAATAGCGTACTAACAGCATATTGTGCACCGATAACTATACCGAATGTTATTGACATCTGTACAAATGGCTTGTCCAATAAATGCGATTTTAGAATCAACCACGAATCCACAGTAGTGGATGAAGGTAACCCGTGTTGATCCGACCTAAGATGTTATGAAAAACTTAGAACTTCTCCAAATAGTGACGATTTACAGAAATAGAGATCTCGATTGACGACTCACCCCGCAGACAATTTAGGTGAAGATTTAAAACTTATTAATAAAAACACAAAAATTATTACACAAGCCACAAACTGCACAAACAAGTATTTGGGGATGTCAGTAGCTGCAGTTTTCTCTTTTATCATCCAGGGCGACAACAGGAACCTACATCAGCCAACAGACACATGCATTAGTATATAATAGCAATCATGTTGGAGCCGTCGAATAAAACTACAGCAACCAACATGGAACACACCTACCTCCTCATATCTACCCATTCTATAATCATATGCGATTCTTACCCAGCAGCAACGCCAGCATTATTTGCCATAATTCCAACAGAAATTGCCAGGTTCTGTTGTCCGCCAGAAAACCACACACTCGCCAACTTGGGCGGTACACCTAGGATAAACAACTGTGCAGCAGCGTCAATAGTTTGTCCCATAAACAATATCCAAAACCCGGATGGATGCAATGATCCGGTAAATCTGAGCAGTGCTCCTAATGCATTGAGAAACCCTCCGATAAGAATCCCGTTGCGTAATCCATACATGTCAAAGATTTTCAATGAAGGGAATAACAGAACAGGGTAAACAAACATGTAGACTGTAGAAAGAGCATTTATGTATGCGGTCGTATTTTGTGAAAAATGGGACATAAAGATAAAAATACAAGGGGCGAAGGTTATCCATAAACACGCCGAAGAGAAGGAGAGCAGTGAAAATCCAAGGAGGATCATCCATTTCTGCAGTGAATTTGATGCAAAATTGGTATATGATCTTGTTAAATTCGAGACAGGCTTGTGCGGAACTGAAGTGTCTGAAGAGAGTCTTTCGTAAGACTGGGCCGAGTTTCTCGTTCTAGTGACAACTGTCATTTAGACTGTTATAGGGGAAAAACAAGAGTTGGAGAGAAAAAATTATGCGAAATCTCAATCAAGCGTGTCATTTAGCTTTCCATTCAGGGTCATGTATTGTGTGAATGTGTCGTGTGGCACTAAAACTAAATGAGCGACCTTTCATTATTCTCAACACCGACGTTTGCAGTTATTTATTAAGAGATTATGATAATATACTTTGTAGTGACACAACTATATTCTGACCAACGAATATGTGTTTTAAGTATTTCCCTGTCTGGACAATGTTTTCGAACATCCCCAATTTGGGAATAGGAGAGAGATTTATTGAATATACTTCAACGTTAAATAGAAAATGATTAATATAGCGCAGTTGCATGTATACTGGAATCTGTTACATTAAACAGCATGGTTTAAATACAGTTAACACTGTTTATAAGGATCTCCGAGCAGAGCAAATCCGTCTTTACATGAAAAATACCAGATCACGAGAACCATAATTATCTATCTTATACTCTCTCATATATTCTAATTGTATATCTATGGAGAAAGTAAGTACTACTTTTATGAAATTAATGTCAACACTCTCCGTAACACGACAATCGTCAACACATTTCTTCATGTAAAATGCCTTTATGTCGGCGGGGAATCGACACAAGAACACGGGCTTTCCAATTCTATCAATCATTGCTCGTTCAGGTGCTTCCGGGATATCTTCTCCGAATTCATAGAATGTTCCATCATCTTTTGTGAGATACTGAATCGCATCCTTGTAGTCGAGTCTCATGAATGGATGCTCCAGCTTCTCAAAGTCCAGGTTAAGTTGATATACGAGTTTGCTGATTTTCGAGTCAGCCAACGACATCGCATATCATATCTTCCACTGTTTTGAGTAGATCATGTCTACAAAGTAACGGAACAATGAGATCGGACCAGTATTGTAAACGGGCTTACTCAAGTATTCCGTCGGCTAGAATAGCATCATCGTCTTTGTCTATGCACGAAACATGAGGGCAACTAAGTATGGATTGACCAGAAAAACAAAATCACAATTTGCAACATACTTCATACCTTTATATTTTTGGAATATCTGGTTAAGCCTATAAACATCAACGCCTGAAGGCGCGGGTGCAGCTGCATATCCTCTCTGAACGACTGGCTGATCATTAAAGAAGGAGTCTATGGCTACCTCTGCGTTCCAGTTGAAATCCTTGAGTTTACGGCTAGCCACTCTTTCACTATAATGAACCAGATTATTTTTTAGTGAAAAAACAAACAAACAAAACCAGAAATACCATTTACGACAACGATTACTATTTAATTATAAACCCCGTCGTTTTTATTATTAGCCGAACAAAAACCTGCCCCGATCCTTAATCGTCCCGTCATTGCTGTACCTTCCCAAAGAACTTACCTAGCGCTCGTGAATGTATAAACTGCCTAACCTTCTCCTTCTGAGAAGATCTCAGCGAGCTCTGTACAAATCCAATATCGAGGAAATTTGCATAACAAGTTATTATTATTAGGACTTTCGGAAAAGCCTGTTACGGCAAGCTGATCTGATGATAAAATCTTCCTCTGCAGTCATGATCGGCACTAATTTTAGTTCAGTAATTATAATAATAATAATACAGATTAAGATATTAATTTCGTAGCGTGACAAGCGTAGCAACGTGTCGCAAAATATGAGACAGCACAAACGCTAAATTGTTCTTTAATTTATAGAAGCGTGTCGTTTTTCTTGCGACGCAAAGATATATGTAGCTCTTCCTCCATCGTGTTGTCATGTTGAAATTGTATGAATAAATAAAATAGTATTCTCCGAAATCCTTTCTTATAGTATCCTTTTAATTTCTATCGTCAAAATAATTGATTATTAGACCGGACATTCCAATAAACGGCTCGCTCAAGCTGTAACGGAATAGCATTGATTTGATCAAGCTAAAGATCAATTACCTGAATAACGGAACGAGAGTTCATAATTAATTATCGAGACGATTATTGTTTAATCAGTTTAGTAAGACAAGTGACAGATACCGACTAGTCGGCCCTGTTTATTTTAAATAGTATTATTCCCCTTCGATCCTTTAATAGAATAATTGTTATTATTCTG